GAAGCAGATGCAATGGAATTCAGATGGTTCTGAATATTTTTAAGAAAAAAGATGCTGGAGTTATGCCTCTGTTAGGAGTTCAGCATGCATTCAGGACTGCAAAGGACAAAGGGGAGCCCAGGACCACGTGAATAAGCAGCCCATGTGTCCAAGGCTTGATATTACTCATGTCCAAGGTACTGGAAAACTGCCACTGGTTTCCTTGAGTCTTGGCTGGGCTCTGAGCACACATCTAAACTTGGCACCATTGGACACCATTAGATAAACAACTTCTGATTTAGCTGCACAAACACTGATGCTCCCAGGAAGATGATGAGTATCATACAAACACATCTTAGCTCAGACACTGATGCAAGGAATACATCCAGCAAACCCAACAATTCTTGTCAGATAATTTTTTTTGTCTGTTTCTACAGAAAATGACTGTGAAGGATAATGTCTGGCAGTACTCAAGTACAAGCACTACATGTTATCAATTAATAAAAAAATAATGTCTCATCAATACTTTATTACTAAATGATAATTTTCACATTTCACATTAACACAGTATGCCATTTGTCTTAACCTCCAAGCTATGCTGAGGTTTAAACATAAACCTGAATTTTGCACAGATCAAGGGCAGCTTTATTGCAAAGCTGTCAAAAAGGAGTCAAAACAACACACCAGTCTATTTGGAGTGACTAATTAATGGATAGATCCAATTCATTGTTCTGTAAATTGTTAGAACTGTTTTGGTTCATGATGGGCCTTGTCATATGAAATCAAGAAAGTAATCTCAGAAAACTTGTTAGACTTCTGGTCTATGTGAAGGAAGTCAGGCACAAAAAAGAAATGGAACAACTCTTGGAGGCAGTTTTAAGTAGTTTTCAATTAATTTGTATTTTATGCATGCAATGGGATACCAAACTGCTCCTGCTCATCCCTCATATCTATATTCTATGGATGGGTTTCTCGTGTGTAAAATGATCAGCCTGGGGGCTTACTGGCAAACTAGTTCCTCATGTTACTTGGAAGGACACTTTGAAACACTTCCATGTGGATTGAAGCAGTCAGATTGACTGGATGTAAGCCCTTAGCTCAGGCAGAAGGTAAGTCCTGAAACCTAAGTGCAGTCCTCCTTGTTCCTGCTAAAGAAAATGGATTAACATCAAGCACCAAGCATCAGTTAACCCAAAAGAGAGCTGAAGGTCTGTGATTTCTAAGTATTACTGCTGTCTTCTGGCTGAAGGAACACAAACTCAGTAACATTACATTATTTCTGCTCCTGACTGGGTGACTAAATCTTTGGATGGGTGAGTAATAAACAAAAGAATAACAAAGAGGAAGTCATGCTTTCCAGACTCCATTTTAGAAGAATAATCACGGGTCAAAGTTTTGAAAGCTTCCCTATTTTTCAAATGTTTTTACATGGAAATAATGGTAACCCAAATAATTTTAGTAAAGGACATCAGCAGGTGATACAATCTGTGCGTCTACTTATGGAAAAAACATCAGCATGTCTGAATTTATCAGTTTTCTGGGTTTGTAGAAGCTGTAAGCTCTAAGTTCTCAGCCACACAGTGCAGGATCTTACCCACTTCATTTAGGTCTAATCAGCCTTTCCCAGAGAGGTTACAGCAGCATTATATAGGGTTCAAAGACAGGTCATGAGAGTAACTAAGGCAGGTAAAATTCATATGCAAAGAGACTGAAAGTTCTGCTTTGTAGTATTTGCGCTTGGGCTTTTCTAAAGAGCTATACTGAAAAAAGGGTGGTAAATATTACAGGAGAATGGTAAAGCCTTTCTGCCTTTATATATGGAAATACATATATCCTAGTTTCTGGCTTCTATTCCTCCTCCCTCTTCTCCCCATGTAACAGTGAAGAAGCCAAAAATGCAACTTCCATTTGATTTTTTTTTTTCTGTCTGCAGGCTTCCCCTGGAGGAACTGTAAAGGTTTTGACCTGGATACAGTATTAATATAGATATTTAATTTTTTTACCTGTTTTCCTTTGGAAGAAGTGCCAAACACAATTTTTTCTACTTCACCTCAAAGGTTGCTAACGGTAGAATTTTTGTAAGGGAGTGATACAGCTCTTTCTGTCTATAAATATCAACAGCAAGTCTAGAAACTCTCATTGTTTGCTACATGGCAGGTGATCCGTGTAATCCCTTACCAGTGCTGGCAGTTTTCCCTAATGCACTCTTAGAAGGGAGCGATTTCCAGACACACACGTGCATGCATGTACACATATTTATCTGTGTCCATCTCCACACACAGACACACACTCACACATGTGCACAGACACACATTCACCCAGTCCATCTCTGTACACACACACACACATTCCCCCTGTCCATCTCTGTACACACACTCACACACACACACACACACACATATTCACCCTGTCCATCTCTGTACCCACACACACACACACTCACACACACCCACACACACACACACACCCACACACACGCACACACACACACACACTCTCTCCCTCTATCTATACACACACACACACACACACACTCTCTCCCTCTATCTATACACACACACACACACACACACTCTCTCCCTCTATCTATACACACACACACACACACACACTCTCTCCCTCTATCTATACACACACACACACACACACACTCTCTCCCTCTATCTATACACACACACACACACACACACTCTCTCCCTCTATCTATACACACACACACACACACACACTCTCTCCCTCTATCTATACACACACACACACACACACACTCTCTCCCTCTATCTATACACACACACACACACACACACTCTCTCCCTCTATCTATACACACACACACACACACACACTCTCTCCCTCTATCTATACACACACACACACACACACACTCTCTCCCTCTATCTATACACACACACACACACACACACTCTCTCCCTCTATCTATACACACACACACACACACACACTCTCTCCCTCTATCTATACACACACACACACACACACACTCTCTCCCTCTATCTATACACACACACACACACACACACTCTCTCCCTCTATCTATACACACACACACACACACACACTCTCTCCCTCTATCTATACACACACACACACACACACACTCTCTCCCTCTATCTATACACACACACACACACACACACTCTCTCCCTCTATCTATACACACACACACACACACACACTCTCTCCCTCTATCTATACACACACACACACACACACACTCTCTCCCTCTATCTATACACACACACACACACACACACTCTCTCCCTCTATCTATACACACACACACACACACACACTCTCTCCCTCTATCTATACACACACACACACACACACACTCTCTCCCTCTATCTATACACACACACACACACACACACTCTCTCCCTCTATCTATACACACACACACACACACACACTCTCTCCCTCTATCTATACACACACACACACACACACACTCTCTCCCTCTATCTATACACACACACACACACACACACTCTCTCCCTCTATCTATACACACACACACACACACACACTCTCTCCCTCTATCTATACACACACACACACACACACACTCTCTCCCTCTATCTATACACACACACACACACACACACTCTCTCCCTCTATCTATACACACACACACACACACACACTCTCTCCCTCTATCTATACACACACACACACACACACACTCTCTCCCTCTATCTATACACACACACACACACACACACTCTCTCCCTCTATCTATACACACACACACACACACACACTCTCTCCCTCTATCTATACACACACACACACACACACACTCTCTCCCTCTATCTATACACACACACACACACACACACTCTCTCCCTCTATCTATACACACACACACACACACACACTCTCTCCCTCTATCTATACACACACACACACACACACACTCTCTCCCTCTATCTATACACACACACACACACACACACTCTCTCCCTCTATCTATACACACACACACACACACACACTCTCTCCCTCTATCTATACACACACACACACACACACACTCTCTCCCTCTATCTATACACACACACACACACACACACTCTCTCCCTCTATCTATACACACACACACACACACACACTCTCTCCCTCTATCTATACACACACACACACACACACACTCTCTCCCTCTATCTATACACACACACACACACACACACTCTCTCCCTCTATCTATACACACACACACACACACACACTCTCTCCCTCTATCTATACACACACACACACACACACACTCTCTCCCTCTATCTATACACACACACACACACACACACATTCACCCTGTCCGGCTCTGCCGCTCTCCGGACCCCGCAGCGCCCCGGCGGCAGGCGGCGCTGCCCCGCGCGGGCGGCAGGTGGCGCTGCGGGGCCGGGCTGCCCGCACCGCCCCGCCCGCCCCGGCCGCTCCCGGGGCCGCCCCGCCCGGGGAACGGGAGGGAACGGGAGGGAGCGGGAGGGAGCGGAGGAGCTCCCTTGGGTTCTTCTTGCCAGTTTGTAAACTCAGCGAACTTCGGTCGGCCGGCCGCGTCCCTCCGGGCTGTCGGCGATGAACGCCCCCTCCAGTCGGGAGGCAAAACAAAAATCCATCTGGACCCAGGGCAGTGTTCACCCTCCCGCCTCTCCCGCGCCTCGGGAGCGATGGGCACCCGGTGCTGCCAGCCTGGCAGGGCGGCAGGAGGGCTCTGCACCCACTGCCCATCAGACATCGCCGCCGGGGGGCGGGCAGGGCAGGGCAGGGCAGGACGGGGGGCTGGCCCCGCTGCCGGGGCAGGAGCGGGGATTCAGCTCTTCCCAGTGCAGGTCTGGGAGGAGGGAAAGCGGAGGAGGGAGGATCCGCGAGGATCCAGGTAGATCCAGCTTTTACCGCTTACCAAAAGCCACCGGCAGCAGGACCTCCGCCTCCTCCCTCCTCCCCCTTCCCTCCCTCCCTCCTCCCCTAACTCCCTCCCTCCCTCCCCTGCCCCTCCGCGATGAGAGAAGGGCCAAGTCGGTGCGCGCCAGCCAGCAGCGGTCTCTGCCAGGGGCAGACGGATCGCTTTCATGTCGCAGGGTGACTGCTAGCCCTGCGGAGGCTCCCTCGGCCGGGCCGGGCCGGGCCGGGCAGGCGGCGGGCAGGCAGCTGCCCCGCTGCCGGGGTGCGGCCGGCGCGCCCCGCGGGATGCTGGCGGCGGGGGATGCGGAGCCGGCCGCGGAATAACATGGGGGGCGGCCACTCCCACAGGGCGCCCGTCTTCGACGAGAATGAGGACGGTGAGTGCGGAGCTGTCCGCGGTACCGAGCCGCGCCCCGCCCGGGCTGCGCCGGGGCCGCGGCACCTCCGGCCGGGCGGGTCCGGCTCCGCGCCGTGCGGGAGCCGCGGGCGCGGAGCCTCCAGCTGCGGGTGCGCTGCTCGGGAAGCGGCGGGAGAGCCCGCCTTTGTCCTGCCATCCTCACCGAGAGAGTGGCTGGCTGCTTTTAGGCACGGGCTCAAGTCTAGCACATCGTCCGCTGGGGTTTAAGCACATGGCAGGTAACTTCAAACCTGCGTTTATGAATGGGCACAGTTTGTGAGATGGATGCCCACGCTTTTCGTTTTGTTTATAGTCGTCTCTTTGCCCACCTGCCTGTTTTAAATGGTGATGTCTCTCTTACTCTATACTTATTCCACCACCTTTACTTTCTGAAACTTTTTTTTAGCATGTTCTATTACTCCGAGTTTCTACTCCCTACCTAGGTAATATGCCATGAGAAAGTGTATCTTGTAAAGTTTGTGGAAGGCAATGGAAAAGTTTGCCTAAAATGTGGTGTTTCTTTGCTCCTTATGCATTTCAGTGTAATTTTTCCTATGTAGACTGTATTTAATTAGAATTGTGTGAATGCATTTCAATTAAAATAATTTGGGGTCTTGAAGCAGAGAGAACACAGCACTCTTAGAGAGCAGATATTTGTATATTAATGTAGAAATGTTTTTAGTGTTACTTATGGGATAGATGTTGCTGCCTACCTAGGCAATGGGTGCTTAATTTTGAGGAACTTCCCCAGAAGTTCCCAATATATTTCATTAGGAAGTGATTGTGTCTTAATAGACTCACACTGGCTTCCTGGGTTTCATGACAAGTCAAAACCTTGTATGTTCTGCCCTATATGTACAGGGCACATAAAGATACATGTAGTGTTTTCCTAGTAGGGGGGAAACATCTTAAATGCATGTAAAGTGCTTGAAAGGGTGACTACCTCTTGCATTTAAGATGAAATTACTATTTCCTATTCCTTGGCAAAGCATGATGAGGTGTGGTTTCCATTCCATTTTTTGTGTGGGGAATGGGACAAATTGATTACCATTTGTGTGTTGTGGAGCCATAGCTGCTGTTTTCTTGTACTGATAGAAAATTTCAGACCTTTACCACAGGTCATGCTGTGTAAACATACAAGTGAAAAAGAGCCCCCCTCACCTCTCCCCAGGCAAAGTCTCAACCCTGCACAGTTGGTGTTGCAAACCTTGAGGTAACTCACTGAAAAATACCCCAGAGTGAAAGCATGCTGTAAATCTTGTCCAGACACCCTGAGGTAAAAAGATACCCATACTCCTGCCTTTGAAGACTTCTGATTGGGCTCTCTTGAGTTAGCAGTTTCCATGAATTATTAGCACCTTTATTATTTTTTTTCCCCATGCTACAAAATTATGGTCAGTTTTTGATCAAAATGAACAAAGTTCAATAGTAAATTATTGCAGAAACGCCTTCATGGCACTTAGTTCTCTTTCTGTCCAGAAAGCATTTCTGCAATGCAGCCATTATTAACAGCTAATAAAAAAAGAGCACATGAAGTATTTATGGATTTCAATTAGGTCGTTATTTATTCTTTGCATGGTTTTGTTTTGTTCTGAGGTGGTTTTCCCCATTATGAATGTTGCTAACATAATCTTTTATTCCTCTTAATATACTTTGCTTGGCACAACCATCTAGTTCAGAAGAGTCCATTGCTTTTGAAACAATTACCAATTTCCAATAGTACTTACAAAATATTATTCAGGATGGCATTTTCTCAAGTACCTAAACAATATGGGGAAATATCTTCTCTTTGAAAATGTATCTAGCAGAATTTAATACACAAATAAAGCTGTTTTTTTCATATTCCCACTAGTAGCTATAAAGGTCACCATTTCCCACAATATTGGACTAAATATGTAATAATAATAATAAAAAAAAGCTAATGAAAAAGTATAACAAGAGAAAGTGGAATTGTTTCTTGAGATGGTGTAATTGCTTAAGAATAACAATCAATCCATAGAGAATTGGAATAGGTAAGTTGTATATCAAGATGCAGGAATATTAGAAATGAATCTATTTAGTGTATTGTGCATAATATCTCAGCTGCCTCTTAAAATTATAAAAATTAACAGAAAAAAAAGTATTGCCATTTTATATCCATGAATGTTTATGATGAATATAGAATAAAACATGAGTTTGGAAGTAAAGGTTTAAAGCCATTTATTATCACTCTGTAAATCATAGAAAAAAGTTACATAGTGTATTAGTTAATAAATAAATATATGGAAATAGTGTGTGAAGAGCACCCAGGTGCTGCCTGACAAGCCTATGGGGTGTCTGTTCCAGAGTTACAGCTCCTGCTTTCTAATGGGCAGAGGTGTTGATCCATTGAGTAGATCTACAATCTGTAAACTGTATGTAGACTCCCCTCCATGCTCAGGGTAATAGAAAAAATATTCTAGAGAACCAGAAGACTGAACTACGTGCTGTTAGTTTCCAGTTATTACAGCCAGTACAACACATCATTATCATACACTAATCTTTTTAAAGGCAATAATGCATACCATTTTTACCAGCTACATTATTTCTCTGTGTTCCATTTTTATTAGAAGGATCTTCCAGAACTTCTCTCTTTGAATGGTTAGAAACATCTGTTTTCATGACTAGGTTTCTTCACCTACTTACAAGATTTGTGTTTAATTCAATTTTTTTTTAGTTTAAAATGCTCTCCCCCTCCAGGATTATTCTGGGGCTTTGATAGACAGCAAAAATGTCTCCTCTCGCTCTTTGATTTGTAGGCAAACCTTTTCTGTTTTTCTATAATTTCTACTGCTTTCTCACTTTCTGTGCCCTGCATCTGTCTGCATTTGAACCTGTCTTGGTTTCACACAGATAACCAAAATTATACACAGAATTGTAGGTGAGTTTTCCCTGGGACCATATGTTGGAAAGAATACATCCTGTTCTCCACTGGAAACAATTCTATCACAGCCTACAATTACATATTCCCTTTTCATGGACATACCATACGAATAGTTCTGTCATCCTGTGGTCAGTGCCCTGCTCAGTAATTTCCACTGATGAACTCCAATTCACATGAGAAATTTTTGGTGTTCCTATGCACATGGCCTTTTGCAGGACTGAATTTTGGTCCACTTCTATTATTCATAATCTCAAAGATGATCACTCACTTCTTTCCTTGCAACACTCTGATTCTGTTTAATGCAATGTTTTAAATTATGACCACACTGATCATGTCAGTTATCAAGACCACTGAACACTTTGTGTAAGTATTCAGCTGGATCATATCCAGACTTAATCTTCTTTGCTTTTAACCCCTGCCAGCCTCATAGTTGCCGTTTCTAAATTATACTTTTTCCAGTGTTACTGCCATGGTTTAACCCAAGCAGCAACTCACTCAGACCCACACAGCCACTTGCTCACTTCCCCCAGGCGGGATGAGGGAGAGAATCAGAACAAAAGTTACATGGGTTGAGATAAAGACAGTTTAACAGGGGAAGCAAAAGCTGTGCACACAAACAGTGCAAAAGAAGGCATTTATTCCCTGCTTCCCAGGGGCAGGCAGTGTCCAGCCACAGCCAGGAGAGCAGGGCCCATCGGTGACTTGGGAAGACAAATTACACCACACTGAATGTTTCCCCCTTCCTTTGTCATCCAACTTTATATACTGAGCACGAAGCCATAGGGTGTGGGATATGGTGTGGGATATCCCTGGGTCAGTTGGGGTCAGCTGTCCTGGCTCTGTCCCCTCCCAGCTCCTTGTGCACCCCCAGCTCCTCACTGGTGGGGTGGGATGATGGACAGGAAAGGCCCTGGCTCTGTGGAGGTGCTGCTCAGCAATAGCTGAAATATCCCTGAGCTACCAGCTCTGTTTCCAGCACAAATCCCCAGCACAGCCCCACACTTGCTGATCTGGAGAAAATGAACTCTATCCCAGCCAAAACCAGCACAGCTGCCCATTTTGTCTTTTGTCAGTCCTCACCTTATTCAGCTTTGCTTATACTTCCTTATGTCCCATTCCACTGAAACTGACAAAAATTCAATTTAAGCCTGCTCTATCATCTACAAAATAAGTTTGTCATCAAGGAAAAATGTCTGGTTACTCATGTGCAAAAAACTTCTGGTAAAACCATGATGTATTTATCTAATTTTCTCTTCTTAGCCTAGGTTAAGGCACAACAACAGCTAGGAATAATCCAGGGAACAGAGCCCTTTGTTTGCCTGGACCTTTTACTCTGGCTAAAGATATAGCAAAATATGTTTCATTTCTTGATTTTTATTGCTGTATAGGTTGCATAGAGAACTACATCCGCTGTTGTGCAGCATCACTACTCCTTACTAAAGCAAGACCCTTATATGGTGTGGAATTATAACATATTTTTCAGACACTTAAAAGGCATTTTAAGCAAGATACTACACAAATTATGTAGTCAACTCAGGCAAAAGGAAAACAGTTTTACTGTGGTTAATACTACTGAAGCAAAGGAACCTGGCTCTATTCACCTTGAATATTTCCTATACCCATAAGAACTACCCTCTCCTGAATACGTATATCCAGTGCTACTATCAGGAGAGCAAAGAAGTAAATTTTTCTTCATGTTCAACTCTTCAAAAACAGCAATATGTTCACAAGAATGGCAATAGAAGCGTAAGGCTAATATTCACCATTGGTAAATTCTCCTTGCAAATTCTGTAAATATCACAAGTAATGAATATATTAGCAATAACCTAGTGCCTGTAAAGGGTGTCTTTCATGCTGGATTTGCTTGACTGTGTTCAGTTAAAATTTCAATCATATTCAAAGTGTGAAAATTAAATAGTCAAAAAGAGTAATTTAGGAAAAAGCTGACTCAGGAGAGATATTATGACTATCAAACAGGAATAAGGTGTTTGCCTACATTGTGGTGGAAGATACAGAAGTAAGGATAAGAAACAAAGTGTTAGAAGTTGGTCCTGCCAAGTGATATGGCAGTTCCATTT